CCCTGTAGCGGCCGCGGCAGCCGGCGTTCTCTCTCAAAAACCGAAAGATGGGCGTACGCTCCCGCCGGGCATCGTCGGTGGCGAGGTGCGAGTCCCGACAGGCGACGTGCATGCCGGGCGTGTCGAGCACGACGCCGATCAGGAACCCAAAGTCGACCATGGCGTCGTTGTGGGCGTGCAGCAGGGCGCCCTTGGGCATGCGGCGCACGACGCGCCACAGCTCCGTCGTCTCCATGGCGTCCTTGGCCAGCCCGAACATCATGCCCGGGTGCACCGTGACGTTCCCCGCCTCGCGCGTCGCGATGGCCTCCTCGAGCTGCGGCGTCCACACGCGCGCCATCTCGTCGGCCCGGATCCGGTCCACGATGGCGCAGGCTCGCCGGGCGATGGGCGACAGCGACTGCCGGAACGCGTGGTCGCTCCGCTGGCTGGCCTCCTGCGCCACCAGCCCTTCGCGCCCTTGCAGGTACTTTTGCACTAGCCCGTCTGCCGGCTGCGGAATCTCCTTTTCCGTCTCTGCCCACTCTTCATCCGTGAACCACGACATCTTTGTATTGCTTTTGCGCGTTTCTTGCGGTGGCTGTGGTCTGGTGATCCGTCGGCGAGAGACACCGTACGCTGTAATGCCAGTTTCGCAGCGGCATCAACCCGCCGCTAAATGGCGGGGTTTGCTGCTGTAGCAGCTTCTTTATAGGGCAGATGTCAGCGATAGATCGGGGGAGTGGATCCCAGCCGTCATCCTCACATAAGCTGACGATTTCAAGTTACGCCCCTTTTTCTCCTCTAGAGGTTGTCATTCACAGGCAACATCACATATCTATGGCTCTATCCAGATCCTAATGTTCCATGTTAAAAGACATTTATCGATGTCCGTTTGGATCCGAGCTATCTGCCTGGGCATTGAACAGAATCTCATGAACTACCACGCCAAGTAAGATCTGCAGCATCTAATCCAAAATCCAGGTCATACGGACAGCTGTCAGTGGCGACTTCACCAGCCATCACTACAGGTTCACCATCGCCTCTATGCCTGCAGACTGGCATCCTCTCTAGTACCGTGAGTGCCTCTGCGCCAGCTCTCCTGCGGGTCTGCCTTGCGGCTCGAGACGCTCGCCTGTCCAACGGGGCCCCAGCCGCCGCCGCCGGGAGTGTTGATGATGATGCGGTCGCCCGCCTGCATCGGCGCGCTGTTCTTGGCCCCGAGGTTGATGAAACGCTCCTCGTACTCGACCTCATCATCCTCCTTGTCCTGGTCCTTGTCGCCGCCGCCACCACCCTGAATCTTTTTGAGCGACTTCTCCCAGCTGGTCTTGGCCACTTTCCTCACCCACAGGTTGAGGCCACACTCGGCGGGCTCTCCGCCTGCCATTCCATATGGCTTATAGACCCGGCGCTCGCTCAGGATCGACACCTGCAGCGGGATGCGGAACTCGATATCGCGGATCACGCCGTCGCCGCCCCGGTGCTGCCCCTTGCCGCCGGACCCCGGCCGGATGGAGAACTCGCGCAGCAGCACGGGGTACCGCCGCTCAAAGATCTCCGAGTCGGTGATGCGCGTGTTCGTCATATGCACATGCACGCCGCTGGTGCCCTCCCACGTCGGCCCGGCCCCGGACCCGCCCGAAATGGTCTCGTAGTAGCCGAACCCCTTGACCTCGGCCTGCCCTGCCACGTTGCCGCCGAATCCAAAGGTAAGGTTGTTGCAGCATCCCTGGCTCGCGGCGCACGCCTGGAAGGCCTTGAAGATGACGTCCGTCACGCGCTGGCTCGTCAGCACGTTGCCTCCCACAACGGCCGCCCGATCAGACGGCGACAGGAGCGACTTGGGAGGGATCTTGACGTGGATAGGCTTCAAGCACCCCTGATTGAGAGGAATATCTTCTGAGATCAAACATCTCAGGCAGTAGATGATGGCACTATTTTCCATGCCAGTGTTAGTGTTGGTCGGTCAGCCAGCATCAAGACAGACTTCTTACCTGTATGTGATGGCCTCGGGGGCGTTGACGTTCCCATAGATCTCAGGTCCGGTCCCGGCAAAGTCAAAGACGGCCTCGCCCTTTTCAGCATCGATGGTGACCTTGAGCCTGATGGGGCTCCCCTCGTCCATGAAGTCCTCAGCCGACAGGTCCTTGCCCTCGAAACGCTTGCTGACCTCTTTGAGAAGCCTGCGGACGCAGTACTCGGCATTGTTCTGGATCTGCACCATGTAGAAGTCGACGGTGCTCTCGCCGTACTCCTCAATCAGGCCCTCGATCAGCGAGATGCCCTTCTGGTTGGCCGACACCTGCGCGCGCAGGTCGTTGATGTTGTCGGCCAGGCAGCGCGTGCCGCTGCAGCCCGGCTGCCGCGCCGGCTCGTGGTAGAAGAGCTCGATCACGCGCTCCTCGTCGAACTTGCCCTCGCTCACAAACTTCTCGCTCTTGATCGACGCGCCCTCCTGGTACAGCTCGCGCGAGTGCGGCGGCATGCTGCCTGCCGTGATGCCTCCAATGTCGGCATGGTGCGCCCGCGACGCCGCGTAAAACAGGATCTTGTCTCCCGCCTCGTTGAAGGCCGGCATGATAAGCGTCACATCCGGGAGATGAGTGCCACCATATGACGGGTGGTTCGTCGCAATCACGTCTCCCTTCTTGAGCTTGCCCGCCCATATCTCAGCTTGCCGCTTGACGCAGGTGCTCATCGAGCCCAAGTGCACAGGCAGATGGGGCGCGTTCGCCACAAGTCCACCCCCTGCGTCGAAGATGGCGCATGAAAAGTCTAGCCGCTCCTTGACGTTGGTGCTGACGCTCGTCTTTTGCAGCGCCTGTCCCATCTGCTCCGCGATCGCCATGAAGCGGTGCCCAAAAACGCTCAGCATGATGGGGTCTACCTCCCGCTGGCCGCCAGCCTGTTGCGCCCCGTCGTCTTCTTTCCTCTTGTCCTCGTCAATGTCGATAATAACATGAGTATCCAAGATGAGGGCCGCCGTCTTAGGGGCAACCACAATGGTCTGCGTGCCGTCGGCGAGGACGGCAGGGCCTGGCAGTCTATCTCCAACCGCTAGGTCCTCAAGTTTGTATATCGGCGTCTCGACCCGGCCACCCTCAAAGTACACCTGGGCAGTCGAGTGGCGCTTCTCGCTGCCCGTGAGCTCATTACGCTTGAGCTCCTTGAGCTGGGCGTCAACCGACTTCTCGCTATAGTTGA